CTTCTCCCTCTCCCTCTGCCACTCCCTCTGCTTGTGCTCTTCTGTCTATCTCTCTGTCAAATAAATAAATAAAATCTTTAAAAAAAAAAAAAAACACCTTAGGTTTTAGGCACAAATAATCATTTATACATGAGTATGTTATAAAATTGCTAATTCATGATATATATATATTATTTATTTTTTTACTGTGAAAGTTTTATTTAATCATTTTTGTTTACAACTGAAACTCTAGGAACTCAAAGTTATCATCCTTGCCTGTAAGCTTCTTATAGACGCCAGAAAAAGTTTCAACCTTGTGTTCCACGTTGTTCTGCTGTGCTTTATCCAAATGAACCTTGATCAGCCAGCTGCCATCCAGTTTCACACAGATTCTCTTGCCCACAATTTCACTTGGGAAAACCAAGTCCTCCAGGATCGCGTCGTGCACGGGTCTGTCAAAGTGCGGCTCCTGGGACGCTTTTGCTTATTTTTTGTACGGCTTTTTTGAGTTGGCTTAGGCGGAATTCTCCTCTGAGCGGTAAAAACAAACGTGCTTCCCACTGAACTTTTTCTCCAATTCACGCACTAGCCGGACTTGGATTTTCTGGAAAGATTTCAGCTGAGGAACGGGAACAAAGATGATAATAGCTTTCCGACCACCGCCAACTTCAATTTCCTTGGCGGCCGTGATATTCAGCTCCCTCAGCTGGGCTTTGAGGTCGGAGTTCATCTCCAACTCAAGGAGAGCCTGGGAGATGCCGGACTCGAACTCGTCCGGCTTCTCGCCATTGGGCATCACGATCTTCGCGCTCGAACTGAACATGGCCTTCTCCTTGGTGAGAGCGCCGGCCTAGGAAGAGCTATATATATTATTAATATTAGTACTTATATCCTAATATGTAAATATATATACTTATATATAGTTATATATATGCATCTTACCACAATTAAAATATTTTGAAGTATATAAATTATGTAATATACATTACATATATAATATTGCAGATATACATGTATATATATCCTTTTTATTGTGGTAAAATGTCCAGGCTCTCTCCAGAGCCCCCATCTTCTCTCAGTAGCTACCTGTTAGCTACCCTTCAGGTCTAGGGGTGCACACATCTGAATGAAGACTTGTCCTGGAAATGGACTCAGTCATTTGAACTAGGCATTCTGGAGTTCCAGATAGGTGAAAAATGGTCTCTGTGGGTCAGACCCAGCAAGACACTTCCTCTTGGCCCTTTGCATTGCTCATTACATAGAGAATGGTGTGGCCTCCTAAGGGCCAAATCTGTTGCTTTCATCTAAGGGTAGTAATGATTTTAATAATCTTTTTTTTTTTTAAGTTTTTATTTATCTCTACACCCAGTGTGGGTCTTGCACTCACAGCCCCAAGATCAAGAGTCACATACTTCTCTGACTGAGCCAGCCAGGTGCCCTTAATAATCTTTTAATAGAACTACCAAACTTGATTGCTCCAACATCATTCCTTCCTTTTGTTGTATGTATGGTCTTTTAGGGTTCCCAGATTCAATTTCAGTGTCGGAGGCAGGGGTTCCAACACACAACACCGAGCAATTCTCAGAGTAGGATTTCTGAGAATTCAACTCAATTCTGACACTGTCTACCCAAAGATAGCATCAGATTTCACAGGTTAAGGGTTCAGTCCTACAAGACTGCCCTCACGCTCTACTTCAGACACCAGTCACAAGCCCCAGGCTCTTACCTGTGCTCCTGACCAACCAGCTACATATTGTAGGTTCCAACAACAACCTCCTCTTTAGGTTCAATTAATTTGCTAGCACAGCTCACAGAACTCAGGGAAACACTTATTTACATTTACCAGTTTATTAAAGGATATGAATCAATATCTAGATGAAGAGCTACCTAAGGTGAGGTTCCTAACAAAGGAGCTTCTGTCCTCATGGACTTGGGGGCCTGCTTCAACATTTGGGCCCCCCCAAACATGGAAGCTCTCTAAAAAGGAGGACTAAAAATGCTGTCCTCTCAGGTTTTTATGGAGGCTTCATTACATAGTCACGATTGACTAAGTCATTGACCATTGGTTGATTCAAACTCCAGCCCCTCTCCCCTCCCCACTCTGGGATGAAGTGAGGGTGATTGTAAAAGTTCCAAGACTCTGATCACATGGTTGGTCCTCCAGGCAACAAATCCCTACCCTTTGGGTGCCCTTGGTCCAGAAGTCACCTTCATTAATAATAAGACATCTATTTCACCTTTATGGTCTGAAGTGTTTTCAGGAACTATGGATGCAGAGCAAATATTTCTGAGAAATATATTTTGGTCATTCAGATGATACAAATCATTATAAATCATTATATAACATATGGCCAGAAGGATTTTTCTAAAGCCAAAGTCAATCACATTCCTGCTTGAAATTTTTTAGAAATTTATTTATTTATTTGAGAGAGAGAAAGAGAGACAGATAGGTGGGTGGGAGAGGAGGAGCAGAGGGAGAGGGACAAGTAGACCCTCTGTGCTGAGTGCAGAGCCTGAGTAGGGCCTGATCTCAAGACCCTGAGATCATGACCTGAGCCAAAACCAGGAGTTGGACTTTTAACCACCTGAGCCACCCAGGCATCCCCCTTGCTTGAAACTTTTCAGTGCTTCACATTTTCATGGGGATAAAGTCTAAACTTCCTAAATTGCCTTATTGAAGATACTTTGTTTCCCATTCTGGTGATCGCTTATTTTTTCATCTGTACTTATTTTAGGGCTATGTTGTTACATGCCAAACAAGTACTCTTTTCTAGCTATACAACTTTGCACAGGCTGTAGATCTTTCATGCTCCCCTTTCCTTGTGAACAACCTCTAATATATCTACCAAACTCCTTGTAACAGTGAAAAAATTAGGTAGTCTGACAAGCTTTTTTTCACTTCCTCAGAAGAATTAAGTCCTTTCCATTTCTATATTTCCATTGTGATTTGTACACATTTCTGTTTTAGCATTTGTTATATAATATTTGCACATCTGTAAGCCATACCCTCTACCTCCAAAAGCAAGGGCTAATGTAATTCAGCATGGTGTTTCCCGGTATTTCCACCAAAAGTGCTTGGCACCCAATAGGTGCTTAATAAATGTGTATTGAATGAATATTATTGTTGTTGTTTTTAAATTTATTTGAGAGATGGAGGGAGAGAGTGAGCACGCGCGAGTGAGCAGGGGGAGGGGCAGAGGGAAGAGGAAGAGAGAGAATCTTAAGCAAACTCCCTGCTGAGCGTGGGGCTGAATCTCCAGACCCTGAGATCATGAAACCTGAGCCAGAATCAAGGGGCAGATGCTCAGCCAACTGAGCCACCCAGGCATCCCTGTATATTGTAATAAGTAGAGTACTTTAAGTGTGAATTGCTCTGAATAGAAGAATATGTTTATAGTAAGCTCTTGTTGCATGTCCAAGGCAAGTGAGGAATGAAGTATTCCAATAATTGATTATGCTATGTAATAGCCAACTATAAATTATCTTTAGATAATTTTAATACAAAAATAATGGGTTATACAGAATTTATCTGTCTTTATTATAAGGTGCTTCAGCTTGATCATTCTGAATTGTATGGCTCTTTTAAAGCTGTGGCTGAGGAAGCTGTAAGAAATCGAATAGGGTGCTTTGTCACAAGCTGGGTTTTTTTTCCAGTTGAGTTTCTTTTTTTTTTTTAAAGATTTTATTTATTTATTTGAGACAGAGAGAATGAGAGAGAGCGAGCACATGAGAGGGGGGAGGGTCAGAGGGAGAAGCAGGCTCCCTGCCGAGCAGGGAGCCCGATGCGGAACTCGATCCCAGGACTCCAGGATCATGACC